AGCCAGAGAAAGGAGAAATCCAACCCACTGGAGGAGAAGGACTAAGATTTTTAAAGGTGGAAGAATGGGGAAAGAGCATTGCAGGTGGTTGGAATAGCCTGGGCCTAGAAGGTTGTGCTTCGATAAATAGGGCTCATCAAGTTGTATGGGTAACTGGAGTGGGAGGAGAAGGTGGGCTAGATTTTGAATTCCACCTTTAGGACTTTCATGGGCTGTTGAAGGGCTTATTGTATCCCTGGATTCCCCATGCCCTTGATAGCTATCACATTAAAATGCATATACATCCCACTTTATGACTGATGTTTAACTGTAAGAGCTGAGGTGAATGAGTTGAGCTCTCATTGAGTAGTTCAGTGTATTCACAGATGTGGTACTAGGACCAGCGCCAGTCTAGGGAAAGTTTAGAATCAATCTGGGATGAGATTATACAGAACTTGAGAGGAAACATTTAGAAATTTTTCTAGTAATTTGACATGCCACAATAACCAAGCATGTGATCATTTTTCTAGTAATTCATTTTTATTCTAATTTCCAAAAATATTGGTCCACAATAAAAGTGGAAATACACTGGAGATTTTTAAGTCTCTGTGGTCCAAGCTTTTTTAAATGCTGGCATTTTTCTTAAAGTTGAAAAGCACTGATCTAGTTGAAATAATATTACTTTTTCAAGAAATTTGAAGCTGGAGATGACAGAGGAAAGAATTGATGAACTTGAGGATAGATTAATAGAAGTTATACAGTCTGAATAGCAGAGAGAAAAGAGATGGAAATATCTGGTACATTGTGCCTAAATATTCTGACTTAGTTGAAGATCATTTTATGGCAAATACACAAAGCCACTCAAACTAACCTAAAATAAAATAAAATGTGTGAGGCAGGGGGGAAGGTTTTTTTAGGAGGCTACAGAAACACTTCAAGGAATTCAAAGGCAGGAAGTGTCATTGGATCTAATGGGGGATGGCACAGGAGATGGAATCAAAGCTGCCTCTCCCCACCCCCCATCTCTCTCCCACCCTTCTTTCTCTCTCTTTCCCTCTGCAATGGAAGCTGTGTTGCACTACTCAGATCCTCATTCAGGAATAAAGGGCTTATTGTCCAGCTGTGGCCAGAAAATGGCCTTCTGCTGTCTGCCCTCTTTGGGGATTGTCTTGGCTAAAAAACCAGCCTCACCTATGGCCTCACTTTCTTCCGAGGACAGCCCACATCCAATGACTTACCAATATGGAGATATAGAAGCCTGGCCCCTTGCTCCAACCTGGGACAACTAGGAAGAGACATCTCAGTTCTAGAGCTCTTTACCGGGTTGCTTTGATGGGAACTGCATCACAGCTCAGCTTCTTTCTGCCAAATTCTTCTTTCTCCTCCCTTCCAGGTGTTGCTCTCAAGAATACTACCTAATAAAGTTTTGAACATTAACTTCTCAGAGTCTGGTTCTCAGGTGACCCTACCTGAGACACTGTACCTCTCCTCCACCCTCCCTCCCTGGGTTCCTTTTCCTCTCTCTTTTTTCCTTCCCTCCCTCTCCCTTTTCTTACCCCATTTATCCCCTCCCTTCTCTCACTTTTCTTCCTTCCCTCAGACTTTTTTCTGAGCTTCTACTTCATTCTCTTCTCGCTTTTGAGACCAACTTTCTCTGCTCTTCTGGTACATGGACCATCATGGCTGCTCCAGAATTGTGTCTTCAGCTCTTCAGTCCCCGTCACTGTGGCTTATGCTGTTGGTGTCCCACCCACATGTCCTTTGCTAGGCTGATGTACTCATCCTGCAGCTGACATGGGTGCTAGTAAATAACAGCTCAGGTGTGCACCCTTCCGTGGAGCATTGCCCTTAGCCAACTGGAACCTTCCCTGCTGAAGATGCCTGAGAGGTCATACCTCACACTTTCTGGATATTGACTATAAGATGGGGGCTATTAGAGTCCATCCTCATTGCCTCAAGGCAGGATATGCTCTGTGGTACAAATCATGCTCGCGAGTTCCCCATGGGGGCAGACTGAAGGCAGACTTCCAAGTGGCATCTTTGTGTAGCATCTTCCCCTGCCTTTTGCTCCTCTCACTACCTCTCAGGTGTAGAGATGGCACTCCCTTAGTAAATCCTGCTGCTTCAAGAGAACCCGATTTAAGATCATCACCTTACAAATTGGGTGCCTATGGCTAATACACAGCCTCTGCTATTCTGATGCTAAGTATCCAGGAGGGAGAACTGAACTGGTACAGGCTGAGCCTAGCCCAGCCTCTGGGTTGAACACCTGGATCAGGAGTTCACTCCAGATCCAATCACCATGGCTGGAGAGGAGACAGAGTGATACAGTATAGGCTCGATGAGGGATATAGGGAGATGGGGCAACTCACAGAAAAAACTAGTCAGTTTCTGCAAAAGTGGACCCTACCTATCTGTCCTTCTCTTTTGTCTTTTTAAAATTTATTTTCTCAGTCCATCTCCTCACTCCTCATCTCTCTCCCCATCCACAATCCCAGGTTTGAAATGAAGAGGGAGGTTTTGAAGGGTAGCACCATTTTATGGACCATGGACTCGACCGAGTGTCAGGACACTCAGATTGCAGCCCAACTCACCCCACTTGCTTCACATCTCTGGGTCTCAGATTTTAGCCAAATTAGAGTGGGTTCGTTAACTTGAAGAGTCAGTGTGCCTATGAAAACAAATAAGGCAGAGTTGAAGTCTTTAATCTCTGCATCCCTGATCTTGGCACAGTGCCTGGCACAGAGTAAGAATGTTAATAAGGTATTGAAAACAGGAGAGGGCCTTTAAAAAGAAAGTGGCAATGAATTATATTAAGACAATAAAGGTAGAGTGCAACCCAAAAGCACTCAGTATTATGGGTGTGGAATCCATTAGCACCTGCTGAGTGCTAAATTTGTGCCAGTTCTGTGTTAAGCACCAAAAGCCCGATTCCCCATACTCTGCCATGTGACAAAGCACCCCAAAACTTAGCTGTTTAAAACAACCATTTTATTATGCATACATGTTCTGTGGGTCAGGAATTTGGGCACGGGATCATGGGGTTGGCTTTTCTCTGCTCCGTAATGTCCAGGGCCTCAGCTGGGAAGATTTGATCGCTGGTGGTGACTTGACAGCTGGGAGCTGGAATCATGTGGGGACACCACTCACATGACTATTGGTTGGTGCTGGCTCTTGGCTGGGATCTCAGCGGAGTTTGTCCACCAAAGGCTGGGCTTCCTCACAGAATGGTGGCTTCAAGCTACTAGGACTTCTTACGTGGCACTTTAGGTTCACAAAGCAAAAGCTTCATTGTTTTATAACCCAGACTCCAAAGTCAAATCGCATCATTTCCTCCACGTTCTGTGGGTTACAAGCCCATCCAGATTTAAAAACAGGGGAATTAGGCACCACGTCTTGATGGGATGGGGGAAAGGTTCTCAGCGCATGTGGGATGGGAGATATGTTTACACCATATTTGAGAAGTTCAGTTGGCCACGTGTGCATTATCTCACTTAATTCTTCCACTGCCCTTGGCATAGGCATTATGGTCTCTTCACAGATGAAGAAACAGGCTCAGGGAGGTTAAGTAACTTGTTTGTGGAAAAAGCCAGTACATGGCAAGGCGGGATTTAAACCCTGTCTCTGCAAAGCAGTTGTTCTCCAACAGATACATGCTGCTTATAGGAAATGGGATCTGAAAAATAACACATTCAAAGGCCAGTTTTCCCTATGTGCAGGATCAGGAGTGGGTAAGCTTTCTTCTCCTCCCAAATCCTGACGCCATCATCAATATCTGCTCCATGTTATAAGCGCATCTGGTTCCTGTGCATAACTCCCCAGGGTGTTGCTTCCAGGAGACTGTGTAACTATTGTGTGTACCTTTGATGCCTCAAGTTTGCTAGATACATGCTGGCAGAGGGTTGCTGTCCTCCCTCCCCCTATCTTCCCACAGGCATTTGGTCAAAGCTTCTGGGGAATAATAGGCTGGAGGAAGCTCTGATCCCTTCCGTAAAAGCAGCACACACAACCAAGCGCCAGGAATAGCGTTTCTGCCATGATCCCCTTTCAAAATCATACCTTCCCCTAAGCTCAAACAAGGACCACTTCTTCCAGGAAGACATCTCTGACACCCTCATGATATTTATAATTGGAATGTTCAGATAATACCTGGCACTTAACTGCTTGCTCTGTTATGGCCTAAATCCCCAACCACAAGAAAGTCTCCCAAGGACCCCGAGGGCAAGGGTTATGCTGTACTCTACCTCAATTCTACGCCCACCACAGGAGTGACACCTTGTTCTTATTAGGCACTCAATAAATACTGACTGATTAGATCAAAGGGCCTCATAAAGTTTATTATTATAACAGGAGGACACATATGTACCCTTGGAAGCATTTCTGAGGATGTCCAGAATGCACAGGCATTGGGCTAGGAGCTAACAACCTTTGTGATCCAGGACCAGGGATTTAGAAAATCAAATATGAGCCTCCTGGGCACTCTGCAGCTCATCAATAACATGTCAAAATGGGTCTCTAGGAAGTGAAGCATCCTTGGTCAGATTAAGAGGCCTTCATTTCAGCTATATTTGAGACAAATGCTATAAGGTTACAATCTCTATCATCTGTCAGATGATCCTAGAGTCAGACATTTAGAAAGTCCCTGAATAGGGTTTTTTAAAATTCAAAATCTTGACTTTAGTTTCTCCTATAAGCTGTTTGAATGATTGCTGTATCTGGAGCTATTAGACAGGAGAGGATGTGTCTTACTATTCTTTATTTCAAATTACTCCTCTTATAATAAGCAAATTTCTCTGCCTGTCTTTTAATTTGTCACCACTTTACCTCAAAGTGTTCCTTAAGGCCACAAATTTTGGAAACACCTTTGAATGTTCAAAATCAGCTAATAAAAAAAATCAGTTATTTATAAGTTATAGATAATCAATATCATTCGTTATTCAAAACTTAAACTCTTGATTCAGATATAACCCTATTGTATAAAACTATTTCCTCAACACACTATTGCCAAGAGAAAGCCCCTAAAATAATCACCCTTGGGATATGAAAGAAAATGTAAACATTTTATTTGGCAGTTGTTTCTGAACACGTGAATAAATAAATGGAAAAGTACATATTAATATTTCTCTTTTTGGAGTAACAGATACCAGTAAATGCTCATTTACACGTCTTCACTGCAAAGAACAGTTACACAATTCAATTTTCTCTTATAAAAGGTAACTTCCCACACCACTGGACTGGACAATTAAGGATGGAGATATTGGTAGTGCTGGGTTCTAGCAGTCTCAATGTTTGAAAGGCATTCATCTGCAGGTGTGATAAGAAGAGTCATCATGCATTGAGTTCATCCGGACCACGTACTATAGAAAGTTTCTGGTGGCAGCCACAGAGTTTGTGTGTCATGCGCTTAAGTCAACTATGACATGTTTGTAAATCTGTGTGTTTCCTTTAAAACTGGAAGCAAAAAGAAAATTACGTTTATTAATGGACACATGTGTGAATGACCTTGGTGCCTGAACATTTAATTCCTGAAATTTCACAAATTTGGCTTTCTCTGCATCCCAGTTATACACTTGAGTAAAAGAATAATCACTTCCAAGAATTGCATATTGATAGTTATTTATCTGAAGAGGCTGGAACACCATAGATCCTCGTGATGGCATCCTCTGAATATCCTGAAATGAGGAGCCTCCCCATTTCATTACTTTGGAATCACCAATGAATCTTGTCAAGCAAATGTACACTTCACCTTTCACTGAGAAGTGCTTTACAGCATATACATCCTCCATGTTAGGGATGTCAGTTTGGTTAATGAATAATTGTGTTGCTTTGTTCCATTGATAAATTACAGGGCGCTGGGAACTACTGGACAGGATTAAATGAGGCGTTCTGAGTGCCTGAGGTGTTCTGGCTATTTCTAGATATTCCACATCAGTGTCCCTGTACCACGCATGTAAGGATTGATGAGAGTAGAATCCATTTCCGTTCCATTTGTAAATGGTAGTAAAACCAGCTTTTGAACTGTCAGCAACAACAAAGTACCAGTTGTTTTCAATCTTGAATGTTTCAATGTCATTGGGTTTTCGGATTTTGAGAATTTCGATATCCTGGATTTTTATGAATTTATTCGCAAAACTGTCTCGCTTATAGATGTGAGAGCCGCCAAACAGCTGGGCCACAATAACATAGAGCTGAGTTTCGATGACTATAGGCTTGCATACTACAGTGGACGTGCCTAGGAAAAGACAAATGAGAGATTAGTTGGATGGTCATCCTCTTTTGGAGCATGCAAACATTGTTATGTCCCATCCAACCTTTAGTAGATGTTCAGAACACATGGCCATAGCCTGAGTTTTCTTCTCTTGTTTCTTGCAGAAAAAAAGCATTGCTTTCCTTAACACATCATGAGTTAATCTTTGAAATTGAACTGAAAAACAGCCATTTATTTACCACCTGTTATGTGTTTTGTCAAATCATCTCATTAAAATTTCCCCAAAAGCAAAAATTCCTTTTGCAGACGAGCATATTGAAGCTTAGAGAGGTTCAGTGCTGCTAGGAGAAGGCAGAGTGGGATTCGAACCCACGCCTACCAGCATCGCTATGGGGTGGGCAGTTAGGAGTTCCAGGGCTTCCATCTTGGGCTTGGATCCCACAAGGTTCTAGAGGTTTTTTGTGGTGGTCTGGGCAGCCCATAGCTCCACCTGTAATTGGTTTGCTCCAAGTATGAACGGCTTCTTGTTCTAGAATAACCTGTCCCTCCCCCAAAAAAGGAAAGTAATGCTAACTGTCATTTTTCTGAATCTTCAGGTCACTAGTGGCAGGAGAGATGAGAAGGAAGAGGGGGTACATAGACGACGCTTATGAATGCTACTTTGGGAAATCTCAGAGAAGAGCACGAGGTCTGTCAGTGGCCTAGCTCAGGATTCTTTTGGTAGGAGTTTAATATTTATGAATAGATTCTGATCTTTTAGAGGGAGACTGGCTGTAGGAAATCCAATGAAAGGCAGGGCAAATCTAGGCCCTAGGCCTTAGGGAGCTTAGGGGGCTCTGAGGCAGTAAGCTCTGCATCAACTCTTTCTCCTAATTGGCTTCATTCATAGGCAAAAGTTATTCTGTTTGAGACCCTTTTCAGGACTCTACTGATTGTGTGACCTTTGGAAAATTACTTAACTTTTCCAGATTCAGTTTTCTTTTCTGTGCAAAGAGGGATGGAACTCGATCAGGGATGGCCACTAGATTTCAACTAGGTACCCATATTGATTGACTGATTGATAATAGTGACTGGCTGGAGACCTGTGTTGAGGATTCTGTGGCCATGTCTGCACTCTGCAAGAAAGAGCACCATGGTAGATTAGCAGTGTCCGCTTGGGAGCGAGGAAAGGGATGGTGACCCCATATGTGACATCTATTTATCATTTTATACTAGGTGATGCATTCTGAAATCTGCAAATATATGATTCATTTCTTTTTCAAGTGCTCATCTAAAGATTCTTCAAAGCAATTGATGGACTGTAACAGGTAAGAAGAACCGGGTTTAGACTACCCCAATCCCTGCTCTAATCCATTGGGAAACCTAGGGGGCTTAGGGAGGAAGGGAAACTGAAACTTCCTCCTTGACAAAGAAGGATTTCAGAAGGGTCTCAGTTTAGAGGGGATTTCTTCATCTGGTCACCTCAGTCTCAAGTAAGCCCCAGACCTGTATTGATCCTTTGAGCAATGGGGCTGGATGACCGCCAACAAAATATGATTATGACCCTCTCAGACTTGTCTATGAGCTTTTAGGAGCAAATTTAAAGGTGTTAGAAGCTAAAGCTGATGTAAACATTTCAGAGGGTGCCCCATGTTCTAATTTGTGATTGTAAAAATTTTAAGGTTTTGAAATGAGAAAGAAACCCAAGAAATCACCTGAGTAAAAGTTTTCATGGAATATAATTGATTTCCATGGTCAAATTAAATGCAAAAAATACTAGAAAGAGGTTTGTTCTTTGCACTACAGGACTTCTCAGAGTCTCTAATATGTATTATTATGAATCTGCAAGACGGAGATATGGTTCACAGATTTATTGAACTAAAAAACCTTTTTATCATAAGCATACATTAATATTTTGCAAAAATAATGTTTGTGCAGCAAAGTTTGAGACTTATTGATCTAAAATAACCTCCGTATATTAAAGTTAGGGAAGAGAGGGACCCAGTGAGAATGAGTGGCTTATTGCCCAGTCAGTTTGTGGCAGAACCTGGATTTGAACTCATGAGTACTAATCCAATACTTTTTCTTTGGGGAAAAATCGTCCACCTTTTATTGCATATTTACTAAACTAGATCCTATGCTACATTTCTTGAATATATGATTGCATTATCTTTAACAACCCTGTGAGATAGTTTTATTATTCCAGTTTTATAAGTAAGGAAATTAAGATTTAGGAAACAATTTTGAGTCACTCAGTAAATGACAGAGTTGGGATTCAGATGTCTCTAAGCCTGACCAGTATCATTCGTATTTTCCTTTTGCCCGTGGTCCAAACAGCATAACTTTCCACTCAAAATATGATTAGGTTTCTCATACCTGTAATGTTGTCATAATTCCGGAAGGTCTTTTCTACGTGGTCCCACTCAAGGAAAATGCATTTTCCGGTAAAAGGCTGAGCAATGACTACATACTCATCGTTCATATAAGAAAAAGTGTCTATGGACAGTGATTGATAAGGCAGGTCTTGAGACTTTGCAAATTCTGCAAAAATAGGAAGTGATGATGAATAACTGTGTGCTAATGCCTAGTTCCTTGGCTAGATCTCAAATGCCCTTAACAAAAGCATTTATTTTGGAAAAACAGTAAAATGGCAATTTTACTTTGCTTTTAAACACATGAAGTTTTAATGGTTCATAATATTTTAAAAAATTTAATTGCTTAATTGTTTCTTTAAGGTACAAAAAATATCAGTTCCTACACATGCAAAAAATGTAGCCCTTCTTTTGATTTTATGACGTGGAATGAATTGGAATACACTACCTGTAATGATACAGTCAAAGTCCTTGGGTGAGAGACTATTGATTTTGCGCTTCTTGTACTCTGGAGGGCCTTCGCAGTAGATGTCTTCAACTGTTGCGTTGGTATGGCTTAGCCACTCCACCAGCCACTTCAGTTTACAGTCACAATTAAAGGAATTTCCTCTCAGGTCCCTGAAAGACAAACTTCAGCTGCTTTTGCACGATGAGGGTCTTACCTGCACAAGTGCGGCTTCTATTTCAGCCATTAACGTGTGCAGAATGATCCATAATCATTATGTGAAAAATGCCCCACAATCTACCTTGAACCTGACCGATTCATTCTGAGCTCAAAGAGTTACTATCCTGCACTCTTGCAGGTCACCCCAGTCAAAGGAACCCTGTAACTTACTCCCTCTTGGATTCAAAGGTAGCTTGGTCTAGAGCTGTGCTGTCCATAGAAATATGTGAACCACATATATAATTTAAAATTTTCTATAAGCAAATTAAAAAAGTAAAAAGAGACAGGTGAAATTAATTTTAACTGTATATTTTATTTAGCCTAATACATACAAAAATTATTTTAATGTGTAGTCATTATACACATTATAATAAATTGTTAGTAATTTATTAATATTTTATTAATATTTATAATTAATAAATTAATATTTGTAAATGATTTTAATTATTAATAATTAATAAAATATTTTAAATTCTTTTTATATTGTCTTTGAAGTCAAATGTATATATTATAATTATAGAATACCTCAACTTGGATGCTAAATTTTTATCAGAAATACCTGATTTGTTCTTAGATTTAATAAAGTTTCAAGTGAAAAAAAAGGATAGATATACCCAAGTTGTCACAGACTTAAAAGTTTTCCAGTAATTGAACTGAGAATCAGTTTTTCAATTTAAATTTAGATTTTTACTTATTTTTTAAAAAATTAAGTAAAATTTACAAGTCAGTTTACCCTAGGAACACATTTCAAGTGCTCAGTGACCACATGTGTGGTATGGCCACCACATTGGACAGCACAGGTCTAGAAGAGAGCATGTAGTGATTATTGTGTTATATTTAATTAAATCAAGTGAGCTATTTGCTTTTCTTCTTCCTCACAGACATAATTAATCCTGACCTTGCTTTCATGGTCTACAAATTCAATTTTAATAGGAAATGACTTTGACATATCAGAGTTAATGCAGACATGCAATAGCTCATGTTCATAATAGACTACACAGCTAGATAGTTTAAATTTCCACATATAATCTCAACTCACCAAGTTCTGTTTATTTGCATTGCTTTTGTTCATAAATTCCATCTCCTTCCTAAAACCCTTCTATATCACACAGAATTCCTAAGACAGCTACTGCCTACTTTTCATACAGCTCACAAGTAATTTTTAAATGTTAAAGCTTTAACATTTTTTGAGGAGACACAGTCAAGAAAACCAAGAAGTCCACTAAAAGGCAAGTTGGCATAGATCCTTGTACTTCTTAGATAGTTCTTGATTTGGACATTTCAAAGTAGGCCCAAGAGGCCAAACCCATTATGGGATTCCCTGGAGAGACAGAAAATTTCAAGTGGGTTTATTTTATTTTTTGTTCGTGTGAGGTACAGGCTGACACAAGGATAAGTCAAAGAGTCCCCAAATAAACTGTACCCCCAAGTCGGCCATGGAGTGTCATCTAACTTCTAAGACAGTCCCAGGACTGACCTCATCCCCTAAGAATATTCTGACTTGGAATAACAAATCAACTTTTCTGGGCTATTGTAAAGCAGGGCCGATAACTGTAGTCTGTTGGAGACATTCTTGGAAGTGTCCTCATCCTGTCATTCAGGAGTTGGGGTAAGAGGCACAGAGGAGGGGCTGGGAGACTACGACAAGGAACAAAGAAAGTTTTTCATTAGCTTACTGATTTTTAAAGTTGAATACTGGCTTTAGGAGAAAATACTTGACTTAGATTTTTTGTTATAAGAGAAAAGTTATTTTGAATAGTCTACAGCGAAGTACCTGATAATAAAAATGTTTTGTTTTCATATATCCTTTCATTTGTTCCTTAAATACCTTATGGCATTTAAATAACTTTCTGATGTTCTGGAAGGCACATAAGGAAGCTAAATTACTTTTGAGAGGGTTAGGCATATATTACTTGCTTTGCTTACAGCAAAATATACAAATTCCTTACAAAGATCTTTCACTCTGAGGCTTAAAAGTCAAAGTTTGAAAGCTCTTTTGTTTGAAAAGGGGTCAAAAATAATTAAGTTCATTCCTTTCCTGGGGCTTAAGCCAAATTCCTGGGGATTAAGCCTAGAGTTGTTGTTCAGTCAAAGAAGAGAAAAGACAAACTTTCCTCCCTTCCCCCACTTCCTGCTCCATTTCTGTGTTCACTGATCAACCCATGGGTGTAACCTTTCATCTTTACTCTGTCAGTTTCCCAGACTCCTTTATGTTGTTCCTTTGTAGCACCATTTCCTGGACCTCATGGGAAATAAAGGCATCCCGAGATTTCTTTTTGGGCCTCCTCTTCCCACCCCCTCAGAGTCCCTTATTGTCACATCACTCCCTCCCATACAGACACATACTGTGTCAAAGGAATGCCTGGGCACTATATTTTCAGAATTTTCAGTGGTAAATACCATAGAAGATAAACATTAGTCCAACTAAATTTAAAATTCAAGCCAACTTAAATTCTAAAATTCTAATTTAATTTTAAACCTAATTAAAAATTTTAATGATCAATAACAAGCTTTTTTAAAATTAACTCTTGCAAATTAACTAAATAATCAATCAGTGATTTTGTAGGTCCTCTTACACATTTGTTAAAGAATCCAGGCCTTTGAAAATATCTTTTGGGAGTGTCTGGAGATTGTTGTTTGCAAGGCTCCTGGGGGAGAAAAAAAGAGTGATGTGAACTGTAGTCATAAACTAAATAAACATAATTTATGATAAAGCATAGTTATGAGTCCCTTTTATTCTTCCCAGACTATACTAAATTACTTACAGTACTCTTCTTCTGCTAAGATACTAATCAGATTCCTGCGATTGTATTTTTAATTCCTGGCCTCCTTGCTTCAACACTCATTCAGTAGCATTTCAGGTATCATGGTTAAAACAACCCCCCACCCCCTCAAAATATTAGCAACAAAATGTTACCTTGGTATTGATCTTTCTGTTTAGAACAGAAAAAATGTTCACACTCTCAGACATTCAGTCTAAGTGATGTCTCCCAAAGGTGACTGAACAGTTGACAGTGTCCATCTTCAAATGCCCTCTCCCCTCACACCCATGCTGCCCATTTTTCCCCTCCCTTTTCACGTGCTTCGAAGAACAGCTATACCTTCAACTGATAGTGTGATAGCTCCAGAGTTTGGGGTGGGGGTTCCTGTCTAATCTATCCCTTCACCAGCATATTCTTTCTTCTTTCTGAAGTACCCACCCCCTTGTTCTATATTTTCCCCTTTTTAGTTCCATTCATTCCATCTCAGAAAACAGCTTTCTCACAAATATCCATCCATCCATCCATCCATTCATCCATCCATCCATCCAGCCATCCTCTTTAATCATTTTCTTCTTTCCCTTTCTTCCAGTTCTTGCCCTGTTACCACAGGAATTGTTTCCTTTCTCCTATTTGTTCTTCCATGAATCACTAGAATGATTCTAATTAAGGTGAAAGAGTAGGAAATAGTCCTTACAGTGTCAAAGAAAGGGAAATGTGTCCATACTGCAGAAATGTGGATGCAACAAAGAGCAGGTGCTGTTTGATGGGGAAGGGTTCTAGATAATGGTAATTTTCTGTTTTTTAACCAGCATTGTACGTATTCATATTTTATCTGCTTTTAGGAGTGTTTTCTTTTTCACAATAAAAATTTAAAAACTAAAACAAAAAAAGCCTGTGTGTCAGCCTCCAAAACCTTTGAAAATTTCAATTTCTTTTAAAACAATCTCAAAAGTCTTCTATGTCTTCTACCTCCTCTAATTAATACGAGCTTTCTTAAGAGTAAACATTCAAGATTTTTGAAATCTATTTTTAAGTTAATTATGTTGTTTTTCTGAGTTTTGGGAATTACAACTAGATTGGAAAACTTTTTTCAATGAACCCTGGCATGTAAGAATGGGAAATGAATTGGAATGTTCTCACCTCAGTGACAGTCTATTTTGTGAAGGAGGGCATGGATTTGGAGTCATTTTGAGTCCATTATTTACTGGTTGTGGGATTTTAGTTATGCATATTCTCCGAGACTCAGTTTTTTTCATTTTTAAATGGATGAATAATACTTATGTCATAAGATTTTCAGAAAAATAAATGAGATAACTTGGGATAGCATCTGGCTTTTGGACTACTCTCAAAGGCAGCTGGGAGGAGGAAGGGGGAAAAGAAGGAAAAGGGGTTCTGCTTGTCCATTGCTGAAGAAATAGGATTGAGAAAATGAACTGCTATGACTGTCCACCTTCATGGTAATAGTAAAATGTTGCTGAAGGAGACTATTCATGAGAATGTCACCATAATTCATCTTACTGCTTCGTGGTTAACTGAAGAGATTTTCTGGTGTCTTAGACCAGTGCAGAGTCACTCCCAAGTTATATGTCTCAATTTCTTATCTGGCATAATGTGTCTTAAAGTTCTCATGCTAACTTCTCATCAGTGGACATCCCTCCCCAGAAACCATGGCACAAGCTTGGAGGAGGCTGGATCATAGGCCAGTGGGCGTGGAATGATGAAACAGCAAGTCCTGAATTATTGCTGCCTCTAGGGTTGCATAGGAAGAGGCACCATGTTTGCATTGCTGCCCAAGGTGGTTCTTTTAAGCAATGGGAGAACCTGGGAGTTCAACTTCCTGCCCAAAGGAGCAGAGCTCTAGGCCTCACATACCCCAGGTGAAGGCTAACCACAGAAGCAGCCGGTGAGATGGTCAGAGATAGAGACTTGGAGCTCAGGGGTTTCTGGAATAGAGACATGGTAATTTTTCATGACAAGATGAAGGACTTATAATAAGTAGATTTGGGGGATGGGGCGGATGAAGGCAGGCTAGCCTGATGGTCTGTAAAATGACGCATTATACTTCTTGAGGATGTCTTTTGACAGGGAGGCAGTGCCAGAGGGAAAAATGGTGGATGGATTTATTGCACTCAGCCATACCTCTTTCCTGTTCCATCACCCAAATTCAATCAAACACTGACTCACAATGGACTATTCCTCAAGAAAATAGGGTATATATGTTTGGTAATGGGTAGGCTTGAGAAGGCTGCCTGAACTCCTAAAACAAGCAGAAACAACAGATGTAAGGCTCAGAAATGAGAGGGAGACTTCCAGATGCCCAAATGCATTGGAGTTTAGATAGCTTCCCTATGCCTCCTGGAGGCCTCGGTGCCATTGAGTTACATATGGAAAAGAAGAAAGAGGACAGCAGGGACTTGGGCAGAGAATGTCTCAGAAAAGGAATACTGACAGACCCTGGGAATTATTCTGGGGAAAAAAAAAAAAAAAGTAACAGGGCCATGATATAAAGCAACCTTCTAGTTCAGGTTGATAGGTATGGGGTGAAGGGTACATAAGACACATAGAAGGGGATCATCAGAGCTTGCAAAATTAAGAAAAGAAATATGAAATTCCCCACATATATTTTTGCTATTGCCAGTTAGGAGTTTTTACCAATCCCCAAGGGAAGAGAAATTGCAAATATTAGGGGCTCATTGTACAACTGGGGAAAGATATTTAATCTAGCATTGCCTATAGTAGCAAATATGGGAAACAACCTACAGGTCCATCAATAAGGGATTGTGTAAATAAATGATAGTTCATACTTAGAATATTTTGTAGGAGATTTTAAAAAATGAGATAGATTCCTGTGATTTGACATAAAATGATGTCTAAGAGGAAAAAAAAAAGCTGGAGAATAGTATATAGACTGTAATCTCACTGGGGAGGGAGGATATATGTCTATAGATGCATAAAGAAAGGTCTGGAAACAGATATAAAAAGTACTGATGGAGCTCACATCTTGGGGTAGCTGGAATTTTTCACTTCTGCTACATAGATGCCTGGATTGTGAGAGCTTTTTATTATTGTGCATGTATTATTTTAAATTCAGAAGAAACAAAGAATAAAGTTGACTTTTTAAAAGGACCCCTCTATATGTAATGGTTCTGTCCAGTGAAAATTCAATCTAAATCAGTCATTTGGCTGCATTCATCAAGTTCCAAAGTTCCAGGCTGGAATGTGAGTGGCTATCACAGCCAGCACTTGGGTGTCTGGGTAGTCAAAAATGTCACCTTCTTTCATGGGATGGGCTTTAGGATGAAGCTGCCTTCTTTCCCACAAAATTCCCACGTGGCTTCAGACCCACATCCTCTGGGGAAGTTTAGGACTACAGTCAGGCCAGGCTTGAAGCTATCCTTGTGGGATCCTTGTGCCAGCCCGAGGTCAGCTTTCAGAAGGGTCTGGAGCCTCCAAAAGCCATCATAGGCATCTGGGGGCTTAACAGAGATTTTCTGCAGGGGACAGCTGCTGGGGGCTCTGGGCCAGGTCTACCAGGAAGAAAAAGGGGCCAATCCTGTAATGCCCCTGGAGCCTGCTAAATTTGGTCATTAGGAGGAAAAAAAAAGGTGAATAGAACAAGATCTGGTGTCTATTAGGTTATCAAAAGCTAGAGATATTGAGATAGAATTTCTAGGATTAGGATGAATGTTATTTTAGGGGTTGATGTTAGGATTATTTGATCATTCAGATTTCATCTCTACATTGAGTTCCGCCACTGGAAAGCAAAATGGAAAAATCAAATTCATTAAATTTCCTCAGTTTCCTTTTTCCCTCCCCCTGCTCCCCTTCTTCACAGAGTAACAACTTAATATTATCATTCCCATTTCCTCAATGGAAGCTCTGGTTGAAATGTGTCCTGTATCTTTTGTAAAACCGAGAGTAGCTCATATTTTTTGCATTATTAATGCAGTGAAATAGTTAGTTCTCAGATAGACAGGGATTAAATTTGAGCTTCATTGCTCTCAGAAGTGTGTCTTTAGCCAACTTAATTTAATCTCTTTGGGTTTCCATCTCAACATATGAAAAGCTGAGTAAAGAATACCAATTTCATTTATTGTGAAAATTAACACATGCAGCTACTAATATTTTTATACACATACCTTTGAAATGAATTCCAGGAAAATTTTGTATCTGCAGGTGAATTTTTAAGCTTTATGTCAAATAATCAAGATGACAAAATTAATGTTTTTCTTTGTTGTTGTCAAAACTAGTAATATTTAATACCTAAGCCCTTTTAAATGCTCAATTTAGGAGGCTGAAATCACCTCTCTTTTCAGTTGTTTTGAGTAGAAAGAACTTTATACCTTGTATTATTTATTTTAAAGATTTTATTTCTTTTTTAGAGAGAGGAAGGGAGGAAGAAGGAGGAAGATAATCATTGATTAGTTGCTTCTCTGATGCCGTCAACCAGGGACCTTGCCCACAACCCAGGCATGTGCCCTGCCCAGTAATAGTACTGGTGGCCACTTGGTTTGCAGGACAATGCCCAATGCACTGAACCATAGCACTCAGGGCTATGCATTATATTCTTATATGTCTCACCTTTTACTGATATCTGTCTATATCTATTGATATATCTGTGTGTATATACATCAGTAATATATAGCCATGGTAGCTACGTATTACTGATGTATTCAATATATATAAACCACATATCTAACATATCACATATACATATATATGCATGCATATATACACACACATATGTAATAACTACTATATCATTGCTTCAATAAAATTTGGGAGGTTGTGGAATAATATTTTTACATTATGTCTTTATGTACTTTTTCCATTACCATGGAAACCCCCACATACCTTAAGAAAAAAAATTTTTTTAAAGATTTTAT